GATTACAGAGCTTTAAAAAAAAAATAGGTCCAACGGAGTGACAGTGCCTAATGGAGGTGAGGACATGGGAGCCCAGAGCAGGGACCCCACCCCCACCCTCCACCCAGCACCAGCGTGGGCCAACAGAGGCAGGTAGGGGGAGGGAGGCTGGCTAAGGTACATTTGAGTCCTTCTAAGGATGGGGCTGTGTTAATCTGGTGAATAAAATGAAGAGGAGACAGCAGGTGTGGGGGAAACAGCAAGGTCAGTGGCATGGAGGGTTAAAGGAACGAGTTGCTGGCTCCGGACAGCTGAACAAGGTGGGGCCCCGGAGAGCCAAGGCCACGGGGGCAAGCAGGCCGGTCCCCCTCTGAAGGGCCTTGGAGACCCAGCTGGGGAGTTTGGATCGGGTCTCCATGCACGGGAGCTGATGTGGCTTCACACAGGAGAGCATCACACCCAGGTGTTCATTTTTGGTGACCACCCCAGACACATGCATAGACTGGGCCCCAGGAGGGAAGCCTGAAGGTGGGGAGACCATTCGGGGGGCTGTGGGGACCCCAGGGGACAGGGCTAAGGCAGTGGCTGTGGTGATGGAGAGGAGAGATCAAGGTAGTGGGACAGGAAGAGGAAGAACTCAGGAGTAAGCTGACTGGTATCTGACTGGACATGGGCATAGATGGGGGTTGAGAGAGAGTCAGGGAGGATGTCACAGCCTCCAGTGGGAAAGCAAGGTAGCCATCAAGCCATTTTCCAGGACAGGATAACCAGGAGGATGGACAAGCTTGGGCAAGACAATGGAGCCCGCCGGGGGAGGATTGAGTTCAGCACATGCAGCAGGTGGTTGTACATGCAGGTGCTCAAGGAGGGAGAGGACCCTGGCTGGGAAACAGGTGCATCTGGTCACACCTGCAATAGAAAGCCACTGGGGGAGCTGCCACACTAGGAAGGGGAGGGGGTGCAGGGGGTGGGGGGAAAGGCAGCCTAGACCGGACCATTCGTTTAGGAGGTGGAAGGAATTGGAAGGTGCAGAGGACAAAAGCAGGAGCCCGGAGAAGACAGGAGGAGTAAGCAAGTCCTGGAGATCAAGGAGCAGGGGGGTTTGGAGCAGGAGGAGGCAGGAGGGTCGGCAGGTGATGCAACCAGGCCAAGTCACATCAAGACTGAATCAAGCCCAGCAACCCAAAGGCTGCTGGTGACTGACAACAGGAAGGAGGTCCACTCTGCAGCACATGGGGACAGGGACACAATGTAGGTGCGCCAGTCATGGAAAAGGCTTCCCTTCTGGCTGGGAAGGTCAGGAAGGGGACAGAACTGTGGCTAGAGGAAATCCAGGAAGGCACTCCTCAAGGATGAGAACAGCTGGAGTGTCTACAGGAGGGAAGGATGCGGGCGAGAGGAAGAGACTGCAGATCTAGGAGGGAAAAGTTATGGACCCTGGGGTAGGGATGGGAGGCAGGGCACAGCTGAAAGGGTTCACATGGATTGGAGACGGCCTCCCCCCACCCAGATGCAGCGGCTTTGCCAGTTCTCCCTACCGGTAAACCAAGGCTGGCATCTGTTACTGAGATTACTGCAGAGTTTGTTCCGTCTCATCCTTTCCTCATTTCCTTCCAATAAGGGCAAGAACTCAGAGGTGGCTGAGAAGCAGGAGGGAGGGCCAGGGGCCCGGGGCCAGGCAAAGTGGGAACCAGGACAAAGGACTCCAGCCTGTCACCGACATAAACGCCTGCATGCCCCAGTCTTCATCGCGAGGCGTCTTGCTGACCATTGGGCGAGTTGAGATCCTTGCTAAGTTATGGGGACACCAGCCTGGCTTCTTTATGTTTCAAACCCATCCCCACTTACCCTGCCTCCCAACTCTGGAACCAACTCTCAATTTTTTTGTTTTACCCCTGCTCCTTTGGCTTTGGTGTTCTTTCATTTCTGCCCCCGTGATTCCTGGCTCCCCATCAAGAGTTTTGTCTTGTATCCAATACACTCCAGCTTTTGTCTCTCGTGGGTAAAGGGATTTGAGGTGGTTAACAAAGATATATTGATGATAACAAGATATTTTTTAAAGGAGATCACAAATAAGCACAAAAAACAAAGAAGAAGTAGGATAAATCCAAGAGTGAGATGAAGAATGCCAAAAATACATTCCATCGGTTTTTGTACACTTGATTTTATTTTATTTTATTTTATTTTTTTGTACACTTGATTTTAAATGGCCATAGACTGCTTTCTGAGCTTCTTGGCAAATATATGTAAAGAGGAAACATGAAGTATGCAATTCGCTGTGCTTCTAAATAAAAACAAATGTATTAAAATACAGAAGAATTCAGAATAAAAGAAAAAAATGGACTTCCAGCATGAGAATGAAAGAAAATCCCGGGTATTAGCTATGCAGCAAGCCTGGAGAGTACCAGAACATTCCGGGAGCTGTCTCCAAACAGCCATCTCCATGGGAGGAAATGATGGAATACCTGATATGTTTGAAAGTATTGAAGAGTTTAGACAACTAGAGGCTGGTTCAGCATGCAATAATGATAAGTTCACAGAAACTAAGCATAACGACAGGGCAATAATTATACCCAGTATTTTTTTTTAAGCACAAGAAAGTAAGACTCATAACTCTGCTATGAATAGGATTTATGTGCTCTTACTAATGTAGTCATCAAACATCAATACAAATGTTGATCAAACTGATGCCATATAATATATTAAGAGGAGAAGAAAGTGACTGTGAGAGATGATGTTTTTTGTTTTAATCTGCTACGTTTTGAGGTAATTTGTAGTTCTCGCTATAAAAATGAAAAGGTGGGAATAATTATCAATAAATAATGCCTAAAACGGAAAAATCAGGAAGAAGTGGGATAAGCTTGTTATTTAGAGATATGAAAGTGAGTACCCAAAAAAGGAGCTTATGTAAGTCAGGCCTAGAGGGTCTGAGGGTCTGCTTCCAAGAAGGCTCCCTCATGCAGCTGGCCCATTGTTGCTGGCTGTAGGCAGGAGGATTCCTTCCCTTTCTCACCACAGGGACCTCTCCACAGGGCTTCCTGCATGTCCTTACAACATGGTAGCCAACGTTTCCCACAGCAGGCAGTATAGGAAGGAACATGGTGGAAGCCACAGTATCTTTTATGACCTAGGTTTGGAGGTCACACTCTACCCTTCCAGGTATATCCTCTTGGCTACCCAGGTCAGCCCTATTCACTGTGACCACACAAAACATGAGTCACCAGAAGGCAAGGATCACTGGAGGCTGCCACATGAGTGTTCACAAAATAGGAACTAGCTAATAAAGTGAACCTCACCCTTAACATGCTTCTAAGGACATCATTGTTACACCAGGGGTATAGCAGAGCAGCCCTGTTTCAAAAAGCTAGCCAACCAGAGACCAAGGTCACGTGTCCAGGCATTCAGCTCTCTGAAGATCTCTGAAGGTCTGATTTACCCATGGATAAGATTTAGGGATTCTAGAGGGATGGTGGGAATGCATGTCTTTTGCCTCCATTAATGCTAATTTTTGCCACTGAGCATCTGCTAAATGTTGAGCTGCAGGGAGCTCACTGTTATGCCAGCTGACAAGTACACATAGTTCAGCTCTGCCCTGTTACCAATTGAGGGCAGATCCACGTTCTTTATTTAATGGGCTGAGCTGGAGATGGGTTGTCACCCACGTGTGAAAGCTTAGGAGCTTGGCTGGGACACACACATGGCTGGAAGGAGAGCATCTTGCATGAAATGCCTGTCCTACGTGCAGATGGCCTTGGCATTTAGGACATTCCAACTTTAGATCCATACCCCCTCCTCCTTGTCCAGGGGCAGAAGACTATTCATTCTGTATTTTAAAGTTCTATCAACCTTCCAAAGAGCAGCTCAAAAGCTCCCTGTCCATCAAGCCTCCTTACTCCCTCCATACCTGCTCAGGGCTGCCTCAGTAGCCTCCATCCCTCCTCCAGACCAGTGTCCTACTTTCCAGGCCCTTTTGTGCTCCCTTAGCCAACCTTCCTGACCCACACCTCCTGACACAGGGACCTGACCAAGACTGCAGAGGAAAAGGGAATGCAGAGCATGGTGAACAAGGTGCACGGAGCCCCACCGAACTCTGCCATCCTATTCAGATATAAGACTCAGCTCATTCAGGTACCACTCGTTCAGCGTGTACCTTCCCAGGCCTCAGGTCCCTTCACAAGAAGCTCTTGTCATTTTTGCTTCTGCAATGTGAGCCCTTAGAACACAATGATTCTGGGAGCACAGAGATGCCTACAAAGGATATCCACAGTATTTGGTGTTTGTTCAGGCATATTTTTCCCCCTGAGGAAAAGACTACAGTTTTCATCGGATTCTCAAGACCCAGAGAGGTTAAGAATCCTTGTCAGAGGACACAAATCAGGGCCTGCAGGCCAGATGTGGCCCTCTGAGGTTATTGGTTTGGACGGCACAGTGTTTGGGGGCTTTTGGCAACATTTAAAGGTCAGAGGATTTTACACAAAAATACTGATTTCTAGTTGTTGATGCTTTTTTTTTTTTTTTAAAGTATTATTGGGAAATGAGGCAACCCTGAGCCCACATTCCCTGGGGGCAAGAACTGGCTAGATCAGTACAGCCGCTGCCCTTCACATGGGGTGTGGGCTCCTCGCAGTCACCAACAGACTGGTTTCTTCTCGATGAGCCTGCCTTCTTGACCCTGGCTAGGCCCTCTGTGTCAGAGCTTCAAAAGCGGGTCGTGTGGCCCTCCCAGAGGCGTGTTCTCACGGGGTGCAGGGGTGCAGGCCGGGCTCTGCGCGCGCCTGTGGTTGACGCCCTCACCGGGCGCCTCGCTGCCACCTGGGACGCACCCCGGCGCACCCCCGGCGGAGCTGAGGTCCTTACCTGCAGAGGGACCACCTGAGCCGCCCTCCCGCCTGGCCCCGCCCCCCAGTCCTGATTGGCGGAGGGGCTGCTGGGACCCTGGCCGGCCCCGCCCTCCCTGCCGGCCCCGGGCCGCGCGTCTGGCTCTGGGCGCTCAGGCCTCCTGCGGCGGGTGCCTTGGCGAAGGACCGCGGTTTGCTCCCGGTGTGACAGCTTTAGCAGGCAATAAGGCAAGGCTTTGTCCTCACTGGCGCACCTGGGGGGCTCAGCGGTTGGGCGTCTGCCTTGGGCTCAGGGCGTGACCCCGGAGTCTTGAGATGGAGTCCCACGTCGGGATCCCTGCAGGGACCCTGCTTCTCTCTCTGCCTCTCTCTATGCGTCTCTCCTGAATAAAAATAAATAAAAACAAAACCACCTTGTCCTCCATCAGTCTACGCGCTGCCTTTTTTTTCTCTTTGTAGTCGGGGATCCACATTGCCCTTCACTTACCAGCTGTGTGACCTTAGGCAAATCAGTTCATCTCTCTTCTGCCTCAGTTTACAGTCTGTGGAAAGAGGATGATAAGACTAGTGTCACCCTCAGTGAGTTGTCATGAAGAAGACATGTGATAATCCAGTTTGTAACGTTTATCTGGCCTAATATCCAGAATATAATAACTCAATAACTGTAACCTATTATAATTTCTAATCTCAGTGTTGTAAAAGTTAAGCCAAACTGGGAAGAAACCTCCCAGCCTTCCCTCTTAAATATCTCTTTATTCTCACAGGATTAGGATGCTCTGAGCACTTCTGACAACAGATGGTGGCGGGGGGGAGCATTCCCCAACCAAGCAATTCTTTGTGACACCAGTGGGGTGGCCTCCAATTTAACTCAGTTCTGATGCTATCTACCTGGGGATAGCATCCCATCCCATAGGTTAAGGGCTCAGTCCCACAAGAGCGCCCGACCCCACTTCAGATGCCAGGTTGTCACCAGTGCTTCTGACAAATCAGCTACAAATCAGAGGCTTCTGTGACCACCTCCTCCAGTTTAATTAAACCCCTCCCTGGGTTTAATTTAATTCAGGAAAGCAGTTACTGTTTACAGGTGTCATATAAAAGGATATGATAAGGATACAGATGGGCATTCACTTGGAAGAGTTGCATAGGCAAGGTCTGGGAGGATGGCACAGGAGTGCCATCAGCCTTCCATCCTCATGGAGTTGGGGTGCACTACCCTCTTGGTACATCAATGTGTTCACCAACCTGGAAGCTTTCTGACAGAAGCCCACGCTACTGGTATTTTATGAAGACTTCCTTACATAGACATGATCAATTATTAACTCCATTTCTAGCGCCTCTCCTCTCTCTAAAAAATGGGGGTTGAGGCTGAAAACGCCAACCTTCTAATCATGACTTAGTCTTTCTGGGGACCACCACCCCCATCCTGGAGTTACCCAAGAGGCTACCCAGAATTACCTCTTTAAAACAAAAGATGCACCTAGTGTTCTTATCATTTAGGAATTTATAAGGGTTCAGGAGCCCTGTATCAGGAACTGGGGTCAAAGCCCAATATCTGGATTTTTCTATTATCTCACACAAACCAAAAACAAGGAAACCAATAACAAATAGAGAAACACTGATTTTCTCTGGTTGGAGATCTTCCCTTCCTCCCTTATCTGGCCTTGGAAGTGGCTCCAGGAAACCCCCAGGAGTCCACCCCCAGGAGTCCACCAGACATAGTTTAAAACCACTGTCCTAGCCCACCACTGACCCAGTGCTGGAGCCAGACATGTCCTGAGAATCGTCCTTGATCCTTCTCTGTCCCCTCACCCCATACCCAGCAATTCCAGATTTCTCTCCATCTCTCCCTTTTCTCAACCCCACTGCTATTACCCTTAGCTTCATGAGTTTTTTCTTTCATCCATAAGTTCCATAATTCACTCATTTAGCCAATATCTACTGATACTTACCATGTGCCGGGCACTGAGGAGATACTTCAGGGACAGCGGTGAGCAATGTTGCTCTCAAGGAATTTCCTTGCCCTCAAAGAACTTCCATTCTACTGGAAGGAGACAGAAAATAGATAAGCAAAAGATACAGTATGGTGGATGGAAAAGATAAATCAGAGGAGTGGAGGGTAGAAGGACTATTTCAAATAAAATGACTTACAAGTTTTCCTGGAAAAGAAAATTTTAAGCAAAGGCTTGAAAGAGGTAAGGGAGTGAACCATGTGAACATCTGGAGGAAAACCACTCCAGAGAAAAGAAAGAGAGGTGCAAAGGCCCTGAGGCCAGGCATGTTTAAGGAGCAGCTAGCAGGTCAATATGGCTGGACCAGGAAAGCCCATGTGGGAGATGAGGTCACAGAAATAAAGGATCAACCTGTCAGGGCCTGGTTTGTGGGTCGTTGTAATGGGTTTGGTCTTAGTACTCTGAGTGCAGTGAGCAGCTTTAACTGAGACTCCCCCAAAGCCTCCTACGTGGCCTCCCTGACTCAAGCCTCCACCCTGCCTGCCCTACCTGTCAGCTTTCCACAACACATCATTCCCATTCTTAACACCTTTACCAGGTCTCCACTGTGGACAGAAAATGTCAGTTTCCTTGATGAGGCTTTAAACATTGGGTGATTTGAGCTTAGACCCTCCCATCTTTCTACAGTCATTATCCAAGGAGCACCCCCTGCCTGCAATGACACAGAACGGATTCTACTTCATCCCCTGTGTGGGCTGCTGCCTCTGACCCTCTGATCCAGCTGCTCTCTCCAGATTTATTCTCTTTGCTTTCCACTTCTCTGGCTGCTCCAGCACTTCCCCGAGGACCTGGCAGGGGGAGGAGAGCACCCATGGTCCCCAGGAAGTACCATCTTGTGCTCATCTTCACTCCAGCGCTTTTCCCCACTGTCTTTTCACGGTCCACCCCACCATCCCACTACCCTGGAGAGGCTCTGGAGGTCGGACGTGTCCCTTTCATCTCTGTATCTTCAGCATTTGGCCCAATTCCTCGCACACAGCAACAGCTCATTTCAATTTTAGCTTAACAACAAATGATCTCTTTCCTGTGCTCTTCAAACCCAACCCATTAAGCTAGAACTCATCTTTCCCCTGCTCTTCAGCACCTCCTTGGATTTGATTTTGCGAGGAGCAAAAAGCACTGTGCGACCTTTATTAATTATGTGTGTACGTGTGTTATAACCCTTCATGGGTTACGAACTGGCCAGGGTCATGGGAATCAGCTTTTGTAACCACACTTCAGCCTCATCCCCACACCACCTAGAACAATATCGCTTGTAGGGAGATTTTAAGCAAATTAAGAGTCCGTGGGCTTCGCGATGGAACTTCTGGCCTCCTGGCCTGTGTGTTAAGCTTTTTTCCCCTTTTTTGGGAAATGGGGGTGGTAGTGATGGTGATGCCTATTTCAGAGCACTGTTGGAGGAGTTGAATGAGCCAGTTGGTTGGAGGGTTGTCATTGATTAAGGGCTTAACAGAGGCAGCGGTCATCATTAAAGTCACAGTGCTTTCTCACACTGTTAGAGGTCCAGTCCCCTTGAAAGGGGAGAATTTCTCTTAGGACACACATGCTAAAACAGTGACTCAGAATAAATTTTATTTTTATAAGTGGAATAAAAACTTGTGTAAAGTTTATCATGTTGAGGAGTCAGTCAAACTGAAGCAATTCTTGGAGACTGTGCAGAAGCTAAGAGTGTCCACAGTCCCCGGTCTGAGGAGCATTTGTTTACTAAGTTGATGTGAGGCCCAGCCAAAGGCTGAGGAAGGCAGAGGCCACTTTCATGGCCAACAGTGTGGTTTCCTGTCTGGGGACATTCTTTGTGGTGGTCTGCAGAGACAGGGCCTTTTGTTCTTCCCACGGGGGGTGGGGGGACCAGGGAGGGGGCGCCAGAAGGCCAGCGGTTTGCTGGTTTGCCCCTGGTGACTCCAGGCTAGTGTGGGTCCAGCCTGTGGGTGTGAGCAACCTCCCACCACAGTGTGGAGCCAGCAGGGCCTTGCACAAGACTGAGGGGAAATGGACTGTGGGCTGAGGCAGAAAGAAGTGCAGAGAAAACGATATAAGTGAGGAATTTTACGTCTCCAGAAGATGGAAAAATAGCAGAGGCAAGAGAGGGTCTCTCCAGCAGAGAAGAACCACGGCAATTAAAGGGAAAGAAGGACCCCTGTGCCCCCTCCATTCCACCAGGGACCCCGCAGATTCTGAGGATCACTGCACAGCTGCTCTCTAAATGCCATTTCAACCCCACGCTGCCCAGAGCACCCTCTTCACCTCCCCTCTGCCCTAGGAGGATTCTGTTTCTGAGAGCCACACTGGCCAGACTCAGAAGTGGAAACATCTGGAGATTTCCCAACTTGCATTTCAAAGAGATCCCCAGAGCTCCCTTCCCACCAGCAGCACGTGGCAGCCACCCCCACCCCCACTCAGGCCTCAGCCCCAGTAGTAAACACACCAACCGCTCACTCTGTCGTCCTCCCAAACACCTAAACAGAAGTCTACTTAGATCATGCTCACGACAGCCACGGGCAGACGCGGTCTGTGAACACAAACGGAGATCCTCTGTGTTCCGGATGACACTGCAGAGGGCACGGGCAACAGCCTCACTGAAGCTCTGTTTTTTCACTGAAGACCCTTCGTAGAGGCAATCAAGCTTGGAATGCTATTCTCCACCTCCCTAGAGACTTTGGAAAGAGTACAGACTTTCAGCCAAGCCTCCCACCCTAAAATGTTGGTGCACACAGTGCCCTTGTCTTACAGCAAGGCGCGGAGAGGAAGCAGCTCGGAGCTCCCCTCCCTGGGGTTGTCAGACCCCTGGGGCAGTGCCTGTGGAAGCAGAAATGGGATAAGGAGCTCTAGTCTAGTGGCCCAACTAGCTCTGCTCTAAGTCATTGCAATGGGCTGCAATTAGAACCTAAAAAGAAACTCAGCTGCATGTTAAGTAACTGGAATTTAAATAAAAATTGGGTGCGGGGAGGAAAGGAAGAGAAAGAAAAAAAATGAGAGAAAAAAAACTCTGTTGACCCACAGAGCCTAAGAACCCACACAGGGCTCCCTCCCTTGTTCTATTATTTCTTCTACCCCTCACCGGGCCTCCTTTCCTCCTCCCCAGCCCATACACTGGAACCGTTTCCCAGAGAGAGTCTGGTGATGTGTGCCAAAGGCCTTACTAAGTCTGACTTCTAAGAATCTACCCCAGGAAAACAGTCTGTTTCATTTTGTCTTAAATCTATTAAGTGTTCTCTTTGAAGTCTTGTTTGTAATAAATACAAATGACCCAACAGAAGAGATTGAACACATTATGGTATTTCTGGACATTAGAACACCATAAAATCTTAGAAAAAAAAGTATGGGGAAAAGTTCATGCTATGTGGAGAATTTTTTAAAAGCATCTTCCAAAACATTATTTCAGCATATCTCCAATGATCTAAAGAGAGAACAAAACCGTAAAAAGTATTCCCCCCGCAAAAGATATGGAAATGTGTGTGGTGGATATATGGATGATTTTTTTTCCCTTCTTTGCACCTTTTAAATTTTCTACAATTAACACACATAATTTCTTAGCATACAAAAACAATAAATTGTCCACCTTTCTAAAAGACAGCCACATACTTTATCCAATACTCACACTTACAAACTTCTTATTGCTTTGCCTCCTGAGAAAAGCCAGAGGTGGAAAGGGCAGATGAATAGAGGGCAGGTCATTGATCAATGAAAGAATCATTGGCAGGGCCAGCTAAATAATTGGCAGGGCCAAGTGCAAAATGAAAGCAAGGAGCTTCTTCAAAAATTAAGATTTTCGTGGGGCACCTGGGTGGCTCAGTCTACTAAGTGTCTGTCTTTGGCTCAGGTCGTGATCCTGAGGGATCAAGGTCCCATGTCAGGCTCCCTGCTCAGCAGGGACTCTGCTTTTCCCTCTCCCTCTACCCCCACCCATTCTCCCAACCTAGTGCTCTCTTGCACAATCTCTCAAATAAATAAGATCTTTAAAAAACAATTAAGATTTTCGAGAGACAGCAACAGCAGAGCATTACACCAAGTGTGGGGCCCTCCTAAAAGGAGCGCCCTGTGCCTCTGCAGAGGTCATACATCCAAGAAGCCAGCCCTGGTCATTGGCCTGGAGCAGGACACCTGATGCAGTAGGTCAGAGCTTGCAGACCTGCACCACGTCTGGAGGAGTTGGCTGGACGTCCCACTACTCCCTCACCTATTGCCCAACAGATTTTCATTCTTCATGAGTCCACTTTCCCAGCAATCAACCTCTGGAACAGTGGCATACTTTATCATATGTATGCAAATCAGAAGCCAGCCAAGATTATTTAAACCCTCGATCATAACCTCCCTTTTTTTCTTTTCTCCCCTTAAGGTGACTGCTTATTTCTTCTATTTTAAGGATACTGGAAAGATGCCAACCCATTTTCTACCCTGAAATTAATGACAGTCCCTCCGAGAACAGTTTTTTGTTGTTGTTGTTGTTTTTTGGAAAAGCAATTTCTGCCTATTTTCTCTTCAGAATCATCAAGGACTCTGATTTGCAGAGTATTATGGTCTTTCCCTGGTCTAAGACCCCCCCCTTTTTTTTGCCAGTCCCTTTTTGGGGAGCAGAGAGGACATTCATTAACAAATCCACTACAGAGCATCATTCATTCCACATGTCTTACTCAGAGGGTTTTAGTATCAGGAGTTACAGTAAATCACCTGTGATCACATGAACTTGCAAGGCAGCATCTTCGCTCATGACCAGGTGAGGGCAAGGATGCAGGAAGTGTGTTCATTCCCCTCGTCTGAGGGGGAGCAAACCCATTAACTAACCCTTGCATTAAATCATGTGCAAAGCAAACCTCTTCCTTTGCAGCCTATCACAGTGTCCACCTGCTGCAGAAATGCAAACAAATCAGACTCAAACCACAGCCAGACACCTGCCTGAGCCAGAGCTTGTGAAAAATGGATGCGGGGTTGCTTAGGCAGAAATGCACTCACTAAATTTTTTCTTCTTCTACCTACCTTCTCCAGGAGACTTCACCAGAGGCCAAGTCAGGGGTGGGGGAGGGCTGGGCCCCAG